GTTCCAAATATGGAGATTCTGCATCATCAAGCCAAACAAAGCCCAACTTTCATGCCAAAAAAACCCGGCTGTCTCCTTTCATTTAAACATCACTGCATGACAACAAAAAGTATCTAGAGATACTATCTGTGCATCTCCACCAACTGAAAGAGAAATTGTAACACAGACCATCTGCTTGGAATTCACCTCCAGTCTTACTTTTCCCCTTTCTTCCATTTCAATCAAGGAAAACTCTTCCCAGATCACTGGGCAGATTCCATGCTTGGGCTGCCTTGAAGGGAGGGAAAATGTTCAGACGAATATCATATCTCCGACATAGGACTGATGCTCTTGTCTGCCAGGCACAGCCCATAGTGCAAAATCAAGAGATTCTGCAAGGCTTTCATCTAGTGCCATATGCACGTTTTGGTTTGAACTGTGCATATCACACCCAAATGCATCAACTTCAGTTTAGTTCTAATTTCAGAGCAAGTCAGAGCATCAATTCAGGGCATGTGTTTTGTCTACAAAGCCCAACAAGAGAAGCTTGTCCTCCGACTGACTTCATATCATTCATATGCATGAAAACTGTATAAAACTGTATGACACCCTAAAAATAAGATTCCTTTGAGATAATCAGAAAGATGGAAAATACATTCAGTAATTCAATATGTTTTGGATTGGGGTGGACCTCAACTCTCCGAAAATCAACCATCAACACTAGATATGAAAATGGCCAAAAACAGTCATTGTGAGCTACCTAGGGATAGATAGATAGATAGATAGATAGATAGATAGATAGATAGATAGATAGATAGATAGATAGATAAACAGACAGACAGACAGACAGACAAATAGATGATAGATAGATGATAGATAGATAGATAGATAGATGATAGATAGATAGATAGATAGATAGATAGATAGATAGAGTTGATAGACAGATAGATGGCTGCTAGATAGATAGATGTAATATTCTCAAAGAGAAGGATTAACATGGGAATCCTTTGAGAGATACATTATTCCTGTTTCCACTCACCTCACCCCAACCTGGCTATTTCTTTCCCCAATTTGGGTAGCATTTTGGACCATTTCCAGAGATCTTGAATTCCCACCCTAAAGCCTTGAAAAAGTGGAAGAGCAAAAACAATTTTAAAAAATCCATCTCTGCCCCTCAGTAATATCTTCAACTAAGGTTTAGACAACTAAGCCATGAACCTCGGCAGCCGAAAGTTTATTTATTCCTGTTTCTCTCCTTCATTTAATAGGAAAGCAAACATTTTCAGGTTAAACCATGTCTGATTTTCATAGCAACAAGCCTGCCAGGAAACATGCATCCATTTATGCCTTAGCCTGGTCCATAAAAGACCAAGTCTCTGTTTATTTTTCCAGAGTGTGAGTAAACAAGGCATCATCAGTTCAAGCCTAAAGAGGTGGCTGCTTATCTTAGCTTATCTCAGGCCAGAAATGAGATCCCAGGGTAGCCTTGATCTGGGAGGAGGGGAGGACAACACTATTCTAGAGGTTAGGGAAATTATCTGGGAAAAAGAAAATCAGGGAAATAATATCTCATTTGAGAAGATGTCAAGAAATGTTTTGCCTAAAGAAAGGACTCTATGTTTTTTTTATAGTTTGTAAGTCGAGTTCTAAGAATACCTTAAACTAAGTTAAAATGAGGTTGGGCAGCCTGTAATGCATGTGTTGTGGGAACCCAACCATCCTCTTAGCTGCTCAGACAATGAAGTTGGTCCTCAGATCAATATAGTTTACTGGTTTGGGCATAACATGTACTGTGAATTCTGCTACTTTCTGTAACAGAACAAGGTGTGCAAACTCAGCCATGGATAATAGTGAACAACAGTTCTGTGATTCTGTCACACCTCCCTGTTTCGAAAAAGAGTTCTCTCTTTGGCATGTACTGTATATTTACCTATCGGACTATTTATGACATCAGAACTCAAGAGTTGTGTTCTTACAACCAGGTCAGTGAAAGACCTAGAATACAGTATACATTTGTAATATTTGATGTGTTTTTAACTTTGGTGGTTTCTTGTTGTTGTTGTGATTGTTAGTGACTTACAAAGCCAGGCTGTTTGATTAATGGCTTAGTATAATGAGGCTTTTTGTTGTGTTGTGTGAGCAAAACTAGAGTTGGGCTACAGAGTTGGAGGACTCCAGGAGAATCTTCATAGGATCTACAGCCAGAGCATTAGAAGCGAGCAAAGGAAAGTTATGGGTGCTCCATCACTGGAGGTTTTGAAGAAGAGACTAGACAGACAATTATCCAGAAAGTCTTGGGCAAGGGGTTGGACTAGAAGACCCCCAAGGTCCCTTCCAACCCTATTATTCTATGTCCAGTGAAATATGACGCTGAACTTAAAAGCCACAAGGGCACTAGATCAGCTACTGAGGACTGAGAGGGATCAAGTGAGTCCATCCCCTTTGAAATGACACAGTTCCAATAAACGACCTCAAGCACACGATTGTGAAAATACTCTCTCTCCCTTCCTCCTCTCAGTATAAATCAGGGATAGTCAACCTTGGCTCTTTTATGATTCGTGGACTTCAACTCCCAGAATTCCTGAGCCAGCTAAGCTGGAATTCTGGGAATTGAAGTCCACGAGTCATAAAAGAGCCAAGGTTGACTACCCCTGGTATAAATCAAGGAAGGAGAAATAGCCAGAATCAGTATAAGAAATTTGACAGGTTGCAATTAAGTATGAGGTTAGGGCTACAAGATCCAGGCTGAGGAATTCTGGGAGTTAAAGTCCACAAGTCTTAAAGTTGCCCAGGTTGGAGACTTAAGCGCAGGCCTAAATTAACTATAGCAGGGCTGGGCAACTGTGGCAACCTTACAACCTATGAACTTCAATATGTAGACTTCAAATGCTGGCTCAAGAATTCTGGGAGTCGTAAACCCTGTGTTAAAGCAAGCTAAACTTAGGAAAGGCTCCCATGTGTTGTCATTGTGACTGCATGCCTTAGCACAGTCCATCACACCAAGCCAGTTTATGGTTAGGCATCGCCTTGGAAAAAACAGGGCATGTGTGTCTCTTGGTTTATCTTGACTTCTACATCCATTCCTCGTTCGTCCGAGCGGAGCCGAACCTTTTCCGCCTCTTGCCGAAGCGGCTGCCTTCGCCACCGAATGCCTCCGAAGGCCAGGCCAGGCCCACGCCCGAGCAGAGCCGAGCCAAGCCGAAGCTTACCGAGCTCCCTAGAGCCCATCGCGTCTTCCAGGCTCCGCCGGGCGCTGTCCACCGCCTGCGCCGCCTGAAAGCTCCGCTTATTTTATCAGCCCCACCAGGCTACAGAAAAGCCACCCGGGACACGGGCATGCACAGGCAGGCAGGTAGGCAGGTAGGGCTAGCCACCGGCAGGCACCCAGGATCGGTGTTTGTGTGTGTGTGTGTACAGGTGTGGCTTGCGTGCAACTCTCTCTCTCTTTTCCCCACCAGGCGCCTTTCTCTCTTAGCAACCTGCAAGCTATCCGAAGGCTGCAGAAAAGGCCATTTTGCAACCGGGGGGGGGGGAGAGACTCTGCCCTTCCGCATTGACTGCCGCTTCTCCCTTCGTCATCTCCTAACCATCCGGCCCCTCGCTCCCCTTCGCCGGGACATCCAGCCAAGAGGCACCTGGAAGAGGAGCTGCCAACTCAGTAGGGAGCGTGTGCACGCGTGAGTGCACACAGGCACCCCTGTGCTACATCTAGTGTATCTGCCTCCCGCGCCCCGCCCCACAAGCCTCTCGGGAGCTCAGATCGACGTCACGGATTGCTCGCGGGGGAAGGGTGGGGGGGGGAGAGAGAAACAGGTTCCCTGCAGGAAACTCCTCCCTCCCCCTTTTTACGACCCGCAGGGGTTAGGAATCTGCCACACTCACACGCTCCGCAATACACGGGTGTCAGCGGGGAGGGGGACAGAGAAGCGGAGGGCCTTGCCGTGGCGTCGGTCCCCTGCCCTGGCTTAATTTGAAGTGGCAGCCAAATTCTGTCCTGATTAATTAAAGGGCAGGGAAGGGCTCCAAGCGAGAAAGCTGTGGAATGGTGAGAGGGAGGGAGGGAGGGAAGAGGGCAGATGGAAACTAGTTTCAGATCTGTATGATTAGATGCCTTTCCACGGATCCACGTGCCTGGATCCAGGCCGAAACCCAGCCCTAATTAGTCCTGTAACAAGGCCAAAAGACTGGAAATGCGGGAAAAGGGAGGCCCAGTTTGGGAAGCAGGTTGGGGGGGGGGGAGAGAGAGACCACAGAGTAATTTAGTGCCAGTGCACAAATGCCTAGGCCAAGGCTAAATTTCTCTCTTTCTTTCCGACCCCACCCCACCCCTCCCAGGAGGGAGGGAGGGAGGGACGAAGGAAGACAGGAATTCCTATTTCAGCACCACGGCGGTGAACAGCACCCCATACCTGGCGCGGCGGGCCACCCAGACCTCAGCAAAGGCACAGAAGCCTTGGGGGGGGGGGGAAGAGGGGGTCTCCTCCGCTCTTCTGCCCACCTGCGCCTCATGCTTTTGCAGCAGCTGCTCCAGATGTTGGGCCTGGCCAAGCCGGCCCCTTCACGACAGAGCGAGAGCACCATCTCCTCCCCATCCTTGCTTTTCCCGCTTCAAACATGGCGGAGACACCTTCATTGAGGCCAAAACCGGGAGTCTTTTCTTCCCACCGACCAATTTTATTAGAAGGGCATATGAAAAGGCGTAAACTCACCCCAGAGCGGATGCTCTTTTAATAAAATCGGTAGTCGGAAAAAGCGTTGCCAAGATTGCTGATTTTTTTTGGGGGGGGAGGGGGGCTAACCATCGACCAACGGCAAATTCATGGAACCAAGGAGCGGGTTGCCTTCCTCTCCAGCCAATTGTCTCCCATCCCCCAAAATCCAAGAAACCGACTAAGCGGAGAACAGGTGCTACCCCCCCACACACAAACACCTTAAGAAAAATAAAAAAATGGAATCAGTTACAATGCAAATATTTCAATTCTCTCACTATGCTACTGTACGTAAGATGAGCTGAGACTTACTTCATCTGCTTCACAATTGTGCTTTTTCCGGATTCCCCAGCCCCTGTTGGGACAAAATAGAAGAAAAAGGAGAGGGGAGGACATTAAAACCTTCATAAAAGCAAAATCTGGCCAGTGTGAGAATATAAGAAGATAAAACAAATAACACGAAAGGAGGGAGGGAGGGAGGGAGGGAGGGAGGGGGAGAGAGAGAGAGAGAGGAGTGGTAGTACTAATGGTTCTGCCTGATGGAGGTGGGAAAAGGGGAGCCAGCTGTTTGTGCAATTGAGTTTTCCGTGCAAAAAAACCGGGGGGGTGAGATGAAGGAGAAACATTTAATAAAAAAAAGCAGGGGGGGAGGTAAGCAAGACCCTACCTGTTGGGGGGAGGCGGAGAATTGGGGAGGGGCTGAGATGGGGTTACATTTGAGCCAGTCCATCCAAAGGTGCGGCAGGATGGAGCGTGAAAAACACACACACACACACACACACACACACACACCTAGTTGGTGGAAGGCAGTGATTTACTGGGGGGGGGAGGGAAACACAGATAAAAGGTTCTGGGGAAACGGCCTTCAGACCAGGCGGGGAGGTGAACTGCAGCCATAAAGGGACCAAAGGGGGCTGCAGCGCAAATCGTGCAAAGGGGCAGAGCGGGTCGGTGGGCGCCGAACCACACCTGAGAGGGAGCAGACGGAGGGGGGGGGAGAGGCGGGCGAGAAGAGACGTGAGTGTGCAAATCTATCTGTGTGTGTATGTGTGTGTGTGTGTGTGTGTGTGTGTAGGGAGAGGAAGGGGGGGGAGAAGGAAGGTAGGAAAGGGCGGTGGGGGGCGACGGGGAAGCAAGCCCGGCCTTTGCCTTACCGAGCAGGAGTAATTTCACATCTTTGGCCGCGCTGATGCCGTCTTCCTTGAGGTTCTTCTCGATCGCTTTGCTCCTTTCCAAGGCGGCTCTTTCCTCGGCGCTCAGCGTACATCCCATGGTGGCCCCAACTCGGGAAGGCTGCCGGGCTGGCGGACCCTGCTCTCCTTCGCTTCTCCCCCCCCACCCTTTCACGGACGATCCAAAAGGGGGGGAAAGCCGGCCCGGGGAGGGGAGAGCTCGGATTGCGACGCCAAAGGCCAAGGAGGGGGGGTCCCCTCTCTCTCTCTCTCTCTCCCTCCCTCTGGCCCCTCTCCCTTCTCCCCCTGCTTCCCAGCCCTGCTCTCGCTCGCCCCGGCGAATCAAGGCATCCAAAAGGGAACCAGCCGAGCTTGCCCGAGCTGCAGGAGCTGGTCGGGAGGGGGGGGTGGGCAGGTGGGTGGGGGGCGCTGGGAGAAGGGAGGTGGCTCGCCCGCCGGAGGAGTCGAAGGAATGGGTCGGAGGAGGAAGCCGAGCGCTCGCCTCTTCTGCCCCCGGCTTAGAGACGGAGCTGGCCCGGCTGCTGCGCTCCGGCTCCGGCAGCCTTTGCAGAACGAGAGAAACGGCTCAGATTTGGCTTTTTTTTCCGCCCCTCCTTGGTCGGCCAGAAATGTCTTGCCTTCGGATTGCCTTTGCTTTGCTTCGCTTTGCTTCTCTCTCTCTCTCCCTCTCTTTCTCCTCTTTTCCCCGGGCGGTGGGCTACTGTCGGGTTGAGGGGTGTTTTTTTCCTTCTCCCCCCTTCCTCTCCCCTCCCCCTAATCTGGGGGTCTCTAATGGGCGGCGGCGGCGATGGCTGCGAGCGATCGCATCGTTCAGCCCGTCCGAATGGAGAGAAATGCAGAAAGGGTGGGGGGAGAGCGCCCGTCCGCGCGCGCGTCCGCGAGCCAGCCGGAGGAGAGAGAGAGGAGAGAGAGGAGGAGGAGGAGTTGGGGGGGGCTCTGCGCTGCTGACTTCAAGGGGCGAGGCGAGGCCGGCTGGGCTGGTGACGTCTGTGGCTCCCCGCCCGCGCATGCGCGCCGCCAGGCAGTTCAGCCCGTGAGGTGGGGTGGGGTGGGGTGGGGCTGGGGGGGGGTGAGAAGATGGATAGGAGAGTGTCTGTCCTGCCAACCTCGGAGAGCCGGGTGGGATCAGCGATCCCCAACAGTTGCTGCTGTTGAGACTTAGTTCCCCCCCCCCCGGGCTTTTACTGGGTAGGGAAAGCGGCCGGGGGGGGGCCGCCGGTGGAGAGAAAGTGAATGCGCCAGATGCAACCGAGGAGGCTCGCCTGCCCCCTTCTGCTTTGATTTACTCACTTTTTTTTAATTAAGATGCAGGTTTTTTTAATGCCATGTCAAAGTAGGTGCGGTTTTCCCTAGCTGTTTTTTAAAAAAAAATAGACGATTTTAAAAAAAAAATAGATTGTTTTTTCCACCCTTGTTTGCAGGTTGGCGAGTCGGTTCGTTCGAGGCAGTTTTAAGATCGCCCTTCGTTTTATTTTTATTTTTTGGGGGGACGCGAAAATAACTGGGGAATCCAAAGAAAGGTTGGGGTCTTCTTCCGCAGAGAAAAAGAGCACCCCATGATTGGAGCAAAGATTTAACTGTTCTTAACGAAGTCCTTTTGCTCCGGATAGATTCATCTAAGGGCATCAGGATCCTAAGGGCATCACGGTCGCTTAAACTGGTCGCAAAGCCTTCACACCCCGTTTGATCGCCGTCATGGCTGGGAAGAGGGATTGGTGAACTTTCTAGAGTCTCTCTTTAACCAATCCTGGCTTATTCAGTAAACCATACTTTAAGCCATGGCTTGGTGTGATGAACGAATCAAGGGAGAACTTGTTCTCAGCTCTTGGTATCCAGATGGCTTTGCTCAGCTAAAGAAGGATGTGCAGATCCATCATGGATAATTTGTGTTCTGATCAATTGATCCTTCTCCATCTCCCTGGGCCAAAAGACACAAAGCAAATTGTTTGTCATTGACTGCTGGTGTTGTTAGAAAGTGTCTACCTAGGCAGTAACTAAAAGCTGGTCTAGACAGCCTAATGCTTGGATGTGTGATGATGGGGAAATCTCAAGCTGGAAGATTAGATGGAGAAATTGAAAATCATTAATGGGGGGGAAGGGCAATTCATCTTCCTATGATGCCAAAAATCCTGCATGGATGTGTCCATAAAACTCATCCATTTTGAACAGCTGAATTCCATGGTGTCCTCTTTAAAATCAGGAAGACACTGAAGTTCGGACAAGATTATCGGTCATTGTTGCAGGAGAATCAGGTTGATCTCTGGAAGAATCAGGTTGAATCAGAAAGAAAGAATCAGAAAGGCTCCCAAAAAGAGAAGCTACCTTCTGGTAGGTGATTCAATTATAAGGGATGTAAATTTAGGAAAGGACACAGAGGCTTTGAAAGAGGTCAGGTGTCTTCCAGGTGCTACGGCCAGTAGGGACAAGAAGCGTATTTCTAAAATAATCAAGAATGGCAGCAAGGACTGTGATGTGGAGGCTATTGTACATCTTGGCACTAATGATCTGTCCCAAAAAGATGTACTTTCTGTGCAGAATGATTTCCAGAGCTTGGGGAAGGAACTTAGCAGAATAGGCTGTAGGCTTACTTTCTCAGAGGTTTTACCAGTGTATAAGGAGCAAAACGGAAAAGGCCAGCGCATAGCACAATTCAATATGTGGCTAAAGGAGGGGTGTAAAGGGGAAGGCTTCGGATATATTAGTCACGATGTCAGTAGCTGGTCCAATCAAAAGATGTACAAAAGAGATGGTTTGCATCCATCAAAAAAAGGTACTGAGTTACTTGGCTATAAATTCACAGATTTTCTGGAGGGAAATTTAAACTAAACAGCGGGGACAGGGAGTTAATTGATACGGAACAACCCTGTCCCGGCAATTTAAAAACTATAGGGCTATCAGTGCATGTAGCATAGATGTGTGTGTGGACAAGAATACCAACCTTGCTACCAATCAAAATGAAGCCTCTAATAGCGAGTGCCATATAAAGTGCACTAACCAAATAGGTGGTAAGACAATAGGGGAACTCAGGCACCACACAGGTTAAGTAGAAAGGAAACACAGGGCCACCCACAAAGGACTCAAATGTTTATACACCAATGCACAGAGTATGAACAGCAAACAGGGTGAACTAGAAATTCAGGTTAACGAGGGCAGATACGATATTGTTGCCATTACGGAAACATGGTGGGATGAAACTCACACATGGAACACACAGCGAGAGGGATTTAAATTATTTAAAAGAAACAGACCAAAGAAAAGAGGAGGTGGAGTTGCTCTCTATATAAGAAATAACTACATCTCCACAGAAATAGAGTACAACAATGATAAAAACTCTCTTGAATGCATTTGGGTCAATATACAAGGGGGGGGGAAATGACATTGCCATAGGTGTATACTACAGACCACCCAACCAAACAGAGGAAATAGATGAACTTTTTGCTAGTCAGCTAAGTAAGGTATGTAGGAAGCACACCACAATAGTAATGGGGGACTTTAACTACCCTGACATCAACTGGGAGACAAACTCCGCACCAAGTGGAAGATCAAACAGGTTCCTGGCAAACCTAGCAGACAACTTTGTCTCCCAAAAAGTAGAGAAGGGAACTAGGGGATTAGCCATTTTGGATCTAATTATCACTAACAGAGATGAAATGATAGACGGTGTTGAAGCCATAGGAACCCTGGGAGGAAGTGATCATGCAATATTAGAATTCAACATTATAGAAGCACAACCAATAGAACACAGTCAAACTAGAGTCTTGGACTTCAAGAGAGCTAATTTCAATAAACTTAGAGAGGGTTTGGGAAGGATTCCATGGATGAGAATCCTCAAGGGGAAAACAACTCAAGAAGCTTGGGAAATTTTGAAAAAATGAGATAATAAAAGCACAGTCTCGCACAATACCAACAAAGAGGAAAAACAACAGCTCTCAAAAGAAACCAGCATGGCTGCATAAAGAACTCTCTGACAAATTGAAAGATAAAAAGGACAAGTACAGAAAGTGGAAAGAGGGGAACATAACTAAGTCAGAATATCAGCAAATAGCCCGAGCCTGCAAAGAGGAAGTGAAGAAAGCCAAGGCTCAAAATGAACTAAGGCTTGCGACCAAAGTCAAAAATAACAAAAAAAGCTTCTTTCAACATGTAAAAAACAAGAAAAAAGTGAAGGAACTGATTGGTCCATTAGTGGGTGGAAGTGGCAAGAAGGTGACAAGCAACAGGGAGAAAGCAGAACTATTTAACTCATTTTTGCATCTGTCTTTACACAAAGGGAAAAAACAGACAAACCTATCAAAAATAGTGCCATAAAAAACAAAACAGAAACACAAGTTAAGATAGGCAAGAAAATGGTTAGGGAGCACCTGTCCAGCATAGATGAGTTCAAATCGCCAGGACCAGATGGATTACACCCCAGAGTTCTCAAGGAACTGGCAGATGTGATATCGGAGCCACTGAACTATATTTTTCAAAGATCCTGGAACACAGGGGAACTACCAGAGGACTGGAAAAGAGCGGATGTAGTTCCCATCCTCAAAAAAGGAAAAAAAAATGGATCCAGGAAGTTACAGACCTATCAGCCGGACCTCAATACCTGGGAAGATCCTGGAAAAGATAATCAAACAACGAATCAACGAACACCTAGAGGCAAACAAAATCATTACTAAAAGCCAACATGGGTTTTTAAAAAATAGATCATGCCAGACAAATCTTATTGCATTCTTTGACCAAGTGACAAAATTAGTGGATCAGAGGAAAGCTGTGGACATAATTTACTTGGACTTCAGTAAGGCATTTGATAAAGTAGATCACAACCTACTACTTGACAAGATAGAAAAATGTGGGGTAGACAGAACCACCACCAGATGGATCCGTAGATGGCTGACCGGCCGTACTCAGCGAGTGGTCCTCAATGGAACTGCATCTATATGGAGGGAAGTGTGTAGTGGGGTGCCCCAGGGCTCTGTTCTGGGCCCAGTACTCTTCAACATCTTCATCAACGATTTGGATGAAGGGATAGATGGGGAAGTCATCAAATTTGCAGACGACACCAAGCTGGCAGGAATAGCCAACACTCCAGAAGACAGGCTTAGGATACAGGAGGATCTGGACAGACTTGAACACTGGGCACTAACTAACAAAATGAAATTCAATGGTGAAAAAAGCAAGGTTCTACATTTAGGCAAGAAAAACCAAATGCACAAGTACAGCATAGGTGGCACCATGATCAATAGTAGTAACTGTGAGAGGGACCTCGGAGTCCTAGTAGACAATCAGTTAAATATGAGCCAGCAGTGTGCGGCAGCTGCCAAAAAGGCCAACACAGGACTAGGCTGCATTAACAGAGGGATAGAATCAAGATCACGCGAAGTATTAATACCACTCTTCAATGCCTTGGTAAGGCCACATTTGGAATACTGCATCCAGTTTTGGTCACCACGATGTAAAAAAGATGTTGAGACTCTAGAAAGAGTACAGAGAAGAGCAACAAAGATGATTAGGGGACTGGAGGCTAAAAGATATGAAGAATGGTTGCAGGAATTGGATATGTCTAGTCTAGTGAAAAAAAAGACTAGGGATGGGATGATACCCTAGCAGTCTTTCAATATTTAAGGGGCTCCCACAAAGAAGGGGGGGTCAACCTATTCTCCAAAGGCCCTGAAGGCTTAAGTTGAGGACTACCTGTATTCTATATCCATCTGGATAACATAAACCACAAATCTCGATTAAAGCAAAGCAACCAAAGCGGGTTTTGAGTTAGCACATTTTATATAGATATAGCTGCACTTAGATCTCCTTTACAACAGCAGACCCCAACTTTCTGGCTTCGTGGATTGGCAGTGGCAGTGGCAGTGGCAATGGGGAGAGGAGACAGGATGGTTTTGCACACACACCTGCTGCTTGTGCAAATGGAGCTTCACGCGCTCACATGCTTGCACT